ATTGACAGAGGACGGATGACATTGACATAACGGATTAAATAAAAAAAAAACGAAAGAAATGTTTCCAACTGTTCGATTACCGTTTCAAAAGCATTCGCTCATTGTAACGGTTGTTTATCTCGATGACAAGAAAAATCTGTCTTCTTACAATAGGAACAAAACGAAGTACTTGAATGTTAGAAATGATTTATTTTATGCTCTATTGATTTCTGAATATCGATGCCTATTAAATTGACTTGTATTCAACGATGAATCATCGAAATGAATCTTTTTCTCTCTTTCATTCTATTAAATACGACCAATAAAGTATTCAGTAGAATATTTTTCTACAATAAATATTGAATCAACAGTTTCAATACGAGCGGTCAAACTTTTGTACGTAAATCAAAGAATTGCACATCTAACAACATTGATTCACTATGTATGTTTTTCTAAATATATTTCTTTGTTTCATAAACATCATCATGTAGTTATTATACAGAAGGAAACTGTCGGAAAAGAATCATCATTAGAAAAAAATCGAAAAAAAAAGAAGAATATAAATATCTGGAAATCAGTAAAAACAACAACTTTTTCTTTCTTATGAATAACATGAATGAAATTGACATGCTTCGCACAGGGCAGAATAATGTTGTGAATTCATACTTCCTTTTCGTTGGATTAAACGTCGTACTAGTTGAGTACCATTATGAGTTATATCCCAATAGTTCGACGAAACAGAATTTGGAAAGAAACATTCACATATTGTCTTTGCTAGTTTTTTCATCACTCGACATATTTCATCTAAATCAAATCATTATTTTTCTTCTAATGGGAGAAAGCTTTGAATTACCGAAATACCACAATGGATGAACAGTTGAATAACAATATTGACATTGTTGCGCGTAAAGTCTCAATAAAACGATACCGCCTTCGTTAGGTTTCGAGATATAGAATGTACAACGCGCACGCATTGATGTCCAACAATGTCCACACGTATCACATTTAAATTGTGCTTTGGCATTCTCTGATTGCGTCAATGAATAGAAAGCATTTAATACACGTGGACATATGAACCGTGCTTCATATGGTATAAGACGATAGTCGACATTGTATGTCATAGCGGTTGCCATGACCAATCGGCCGAATTCGCCATGCCAAGCCCAGACGGTATTGTCACAGAAATATTTCTTGTCATCATCTTGAATAACTGCTGCTCTATGAGCTGAAACAAAATTAAAAAATAAAAGAACAAATTCTTGTTTTTCATTTAGATCTTTTCAAACGATACCATCATCAGTGATTGTTATTGTCGATGAATCAATGGGATCGATAGTATCGAAATCAAATCCATTCGAAAAACCACTTTCATCCTCATCACAACTTATACCAGAATCATTTGGTGTGAAATGAGGATTCGAATTGTTATTGTCTACAACGACATGATCGTAATCGTTCGAAAATTGTGCATAGGATCGACTTTGTTGCATTGTTAATGTATGACGATGAGAAAAAGATGGAAATGATCCATATTCGTATAGATTCTTTATTCATGTCTCGTAAAACGATCTATCTGTCTATCGAAACGGTTAACTTATTTTTGAATTCTATCGTTCGTAAGACCAAGGGTTCAATAGGTATTTTAAATCAAAGGAAAATAATAAGTTCACGTGCTTTTCGCTATAGAATAATTTTTTTCTTTTTGATTGTAAAATCAACAGAATTATGTTGTTCGAATAACTAATGATATTGAATAATAAAAGATTTTCCGTGTACTTTATAACAATATGTTACTCGAGGGAAATCAATTTTTTTGACGAAGTTCAAATGTCGTTACAATTTATTCACGATATTATTTGTCCTTCTACAATTGATCAATATTTGATAAGCACTTTTAGTTTATAAGTTAGACAACATTGTACTCATAAAGAAAAAGATATCAAGCAAACATCTTTCCGAATGATTGTACATAAGAAAAACAAATAGATTTCATACAATCAATGCGTCGACTCATCCGAGAGAAAATAGAATCAATAAAAAGATTTCTAAAATGGATTCTTTAATTGCTAATGCACCGAAAAACAAACCGGGAAGCGAAATAGGTAACAGTTAAGTCTTGTGTTCGTTAAACAATAGATAGTATTTATGCAATCTTTCATTATTCTCTTAGTTTTATTCAGCTGATCTTGTGGAACTTTTTTAACTTTAGTTTAAATGCTCGAATTGGCCACAAACGTCATCGCCGGCATTGTTGCAAGTGCCGTGTTTTTTTAAATGACAAGAAATATAAAAGGGAAGATTAATCCTATTGCTGCCATGCTTAAACTATCATCTAATCCTCTGGTTCCTCGAGTGACGGTCAAAAAATACCGTGAATTTTTGACTACGACGCGAGCAGCTACATCAATGCCAGTTTGCCAGTGGTTTGGTGTGTTCTCTGTGGCCAATTTTTACACTCTTGGTCACTCAAAGAAAAAAAGATTCTTTCTTTGAATCGTTTCAAATCAGTTGTATACAACGCGTCACTTGAGTGCACGTCATTTTCTATTTTCAGTCCAAGGATATCAATACTTGAAAGAATAATATTATAATTACTTTGATTAAAAAATGAATGATACGCACTAGTAGAGGAGTTCGCTAGTATTTAATAAATTGAAAAAATGAACAAATCAATTCATTTCATTCTCGGTCCTTTTAATCACATAGGAAAAAAGAAGATTAAATCAATAAAAAAGAATTATGAAAATCTATTTTTTGGTAAATGTAAGTCCTTCTTTTCCCAAGAAATCCATTATAGTTGTGTGTCCGAATGCTGCACCTGGTGTCAACACTCCACCTCTGCAAAAGGAAAATAATCAAAGGTTACGCATATAATGAGCACATTGTTTTACTTCACTGATACACGCTCGTTCTCTTTAATCAACATGACTGCACAGGCGATTAACATCTTCGATGTACCTAGATAGCCTGGATCAGGTCCAACAAATTCATGAATCAGTTTCTGATTATTTTCTGTATGTGTCAGGAATGTCATTTTAAATTTTGCATGTTCACACTAAAGAAAACAAGGATGTTCAATAATTTTACATTTTATTACGATTTACATCTTGTCGTGTTGGTCCTTCTGTAGTTACCAGTCCACTGGAAAACAAACCGGGAAACTAAAATAAAGGAAAGTTAAGAAAGAATTTGAGAATTTTAATCTGTGGAATACTTTGAGCAGTAATTGGATTCCGAATTTAAATTTTGCCAAAAGCGAAAATATTAAGCCGAAAAAGACTAGTTTAACAACTGAAAACAACGATGGTAGTTGTAAATACGCTTGAAAGCGAACCTAAAATTAAACATTTTCAATGGTATTTTTAATAAAGAAATGTTTTCTCAACTGGTTTTTTGTTTAGTTTTGTGTAATTGAAATACTGTGTTCGTTGAACAACAGATCTGTCACTACCAGGAAATGGTACTGCCCAAATTGGTTGGCCTTGGATCATTGTTTGAAAGACTACATTTCTAAATCGAATCCGACAAGTGAACTCTATTTCAATTCACATACAGATCCGATACCTATGTATTTTAGCTTTCGGATAGGGTAGTTTTTGCGGAAACAGTTGTCGTCGAAGATGTTTCAGCTCGTTAGCGTGAGAAAATCCATAGACAGCTGATTCCCATGTTGCATAATGAATCAACCCACCCTTGAAGAAAAAGATGAACATCGGTCGTTTGATCTTTGTCAAGAAGTACTGCCCATACTGTTATTGTTCCGTATTTTAAAGTAAGGAAGCTTTCAGTCAACGCGATGTCTAAGCAAAATCTAGGAAGTAATATTTATAATATATTTTTGCATTGATGTGTACCAAGATTGTTTCGTTCACATTCTTGCCGAATAGTTTCAACGCCAAGATCAGCAACGAGTGAATCAAAACCGCAACTACCAACTACTATGACCTCGCGTTCGGCAGCTTGGCTATCATATCGAAGTTGCATTGTTTCTAGAAACTGTACCATCGAAAATTATCAAATATCAAGTACCAATCACTTCTGTTCTTTACTTGTGGTTCACCAGAAATATCAACATAATGTGTACGTGCTTCAAGACAAGCTCGAACTACTGGTTCACCATAATGTCGGTACTAAAAAACCATTTAGAATCGTTTGTTTTTCTCGCCTATTAGTGCATACGGGTCCAACACAATTGACTAGAACTTTCGTTCGTGCACACATATTGACTAATGACTGTTGATTAGTGATATTCGCTGTCACTGTATCGACAGTTGAAGTCAGGCTGTCAATACCTAGAGAACAATACCAATTAGATAGTCTATCGATTAACTCAAAATCATTTGAACACCTGTCACATCGGATGCTTGCTGAAGGACTTGTTTTAGTTTCTCTACTGTTCGTCCGGCAACACCCCATTTCAAACCAAACTGTCTTCCTTTTCTTGCCATTTCTTCGATGACATACTGGCCTGTATAACCAGTCGCACCGAAAATAAGTACATCAAGTCGATTTGACATGATTTTCGAAATCTAGAGTAAATGATCGCTTTTAACGAGTGATTTAAAATTGCAAACGGGGCAGAATAAGTTTATTTAGAAAATCGTTGATCAGAATTGCGCTAAAGACTTTGTCATTCTTTTAAAAAGCATGGTTATCATAAAAAAGAGGTTCTTTTCTTGAAATATTTTGCTTTAAGCTTCATCCATTCATTTGAAATCAAGTAATTCAACGTCGAAAATCAATGTTGAATTGCCTGGAATTAATCCATCACCGACACCATCGGAACCTAGTTAAATGAGTTTCTTTTTCAAAATTCATTTCTATAAACCATCATTTCTTACCATAAGCATAATCTGGTGGACATGTCAGCGTAGCACGTTCACCTTTTGACATTTGAGCAACACCTTGATCCCATCCCTATTCAAATCCGAAGCAATTTTCATTTGAGTTTTTCTTCTTCTCACTTACTTTGATAACTTCACTAAAAGAAGATAAGATAAAAAATAAATGTCAGTTTTTTTCTGTCAACATAATTTTATTTCTAGATACTCACCCTCGTCCAAGTGTAAACTCGAATGGTCGATTACGATCACGTGATGAATCGAATTTCTTTCCATTTGTTAATGTACCTACAGGTTAACTTTCGAAAATCAATCCTTCACCTTCTTCTATTCTCTCACCTGTATAGTGAACAGTTACGCGTTGTCCAGCCTTTGGTCTTTGACCTAATGTATTACAATCGCAAACTTTCATAAATCACACGCAAACAAAAGCAAGCTAACCGTTTCCTTCTTTAATTGTTTCAACTTTGAATCCTGATGACATCTTTCTTGATTAAATGAACTATTCTACAAAAGAAACAGAAAATTCGTCTATATCTTTTATTTTTATATATGTATGTACATAGCACAAAAAGAAAGAAAAATAATAATAATAATAGTAGCCAAGTATAGACGCTAAAAAAAGAGCCAGTAACAATTAACAGTCATACCTGTTGTTTAGTTGAACAATGTCAAATCTATATACACGCGTGCAACAAAAAAGAAGAAGAGAAAACACATAGCAAGATAACAAGAAGACAAATTTTCAGCTAGAGTAAAGAACCGGTTTTTTTGCGAGATGGTGTAGAACCCAGATTAGAAATATTGACAGAGAGCTAAAAAAAGAGAGAAGAGGACGACAAGTCAAATCCACACTTTCATTTTGTTTATGAAACACTCGTTATCGATTGGGTTGGACCACGCATTGTGGAAAGAACAGTATCAAGCCATTTTAATGGACCTTCTAAATGAATTTCAACCCAACATGGTGTGCAAGTTACCGCTTGACGTCTGAAAATATGAATAGATTTTTATTGATTTCACTTTTGGAATAAAGGCAAATTCTAGCTTACCGATATTCAACACCCCATCCTTTTACAAAACTCATACGAATGATACACATTCTCATGAGATTATAGACAGCTTCATAACCTTCATGAACAGCTGTACTGAGTATTTGTGTAAAATCATCACTATCGAAGATTTTCAATCGTACTTCTATTAAAAACAAACTCCTGTTACGCATGTTTCTCATCGATTAAAAAAAGATCTTACTCGATGGAATTTTGCAAACAGTAGCTGGATGCCATGATAATCTTTGATTAGTTATTGGACTTTGAACAAAAACAGGATTATCAGATATACATTCCGCAAAGACGTTGCCACGTATATGAAACAATTTTACACCACGGCCAATGTGTCGACGTGCTTTATCAATTTCAAATGTTCGATGAACATTCGTCAAACCACCCAAACAGAATCGTTCTGCATTGGATGGATCGGTAAACCCATCGATGATCACTTGTGGTTGAGTAGCATGAAATTGTTCTCCAACACGTGTGGACATTTCATAGTAAGAGATAAGGCACCATTCATGTGGTTCTTCGAAAGATACTTGTTCGCCATTACCGACAGCATATTCAGATGGAATGGTCGACACAGGTTGTTGTTGCTCATGTGGTTGAGAGGAATAGAGAGGATTTGTTTCTACAGATACAGGCGCGGCAACTTCGAAATCCATTGCATTATCGTGCGAGTTTTGATTACTATCACCGTTTGTATTAGCACCAAGTGGTGAAAGAAGAGAATCTACATGAAATGAAAAAAGGAAATACATAGTTATTGTTGATGATCAAAATCTCATTGAATTTGTTTGTTGTAAGTTACCTTGTGAACTGATACTGCCAGGCGATAGTTGATACGAAGGTGGTGATTGCTGTTGTTCAACCATAGCTTGGTATGTAGTGTTTTCCGGTATCTGATTTGGCATCATGTCATTGTTCATGGATGCTGAACGCAAGTCTGGCATATCACGAAACGCTTCTGGAGGCAAATGTGGAACATATACAGAATATTTCGCTAAATGGTCAAAGATAAGTCGATTTTTTCTGAAATTATACTCATTGAGAGAAATTACCTGGAACGCGTTCATAATGGAATGGATTGATGCAAATATCATCTCGAGAGTAGTGAAATGGATGAGAACAGTAATCAACTGGTTTTAATTCATTTTGATTAGATAGATCAGGCCAACGCCATAGACGACTATAGAGTACGACAGGATTTGATTTCGATGATTGACTTGTTAAAGTATCAGTAGATCTAAAAACGAACAGAATTCATTCATTATCTTCCAATAAAAGCAATTGACCTTGGTATAGTAACACATTTTGTTCTTGAATCTTTGTGTGAAATTGCTTTTTCTAATTCTTCAATTGCATTATTCTTTTTTAATTTAGTTAATTTTTTAATTAAATTTCGTATTGCTTTTTCTGTATGATCATTAACATTTGATCCTGGCGGTGTTTTGTCATTTCGATTAACACATAACTTGAGAAATTGCCGTACGACAGGTGATACCGATCGTTTCTTCGTTATCGAATGCAGAAGCGATGTGAGAGGATTTGATGGTGATGAATTATTATTCATTGTCGTTGTTGGAGAAGCAATTGACATAGTCCTAGCTATCTAGAAGAAATAAATCGTTTGACGTTTACTTTCGTTTATATACATATTAGTGTCTATTTTCTTTTTTTTCGATAAAAGAAAGGTCGCGGACAAATATACAAAAAAAAAACAAAAAAAAAATATGAGAGAAAAGAATGAGCAGAAAAATAATAAATCTGATCCAAGATATCACCTTGATGTTGGATACCAGTGTTTCATCCCTTCAAAGTCGTAGAGATGATCATAAGCTGCCAAAAATTCGCTTGTACGTTGAAATTTACTCGATTTCGTTTTGCGTTTGCCATCGGATGGGCTGATATGTAATTCTTTTTCCATAGTCAACGTTAAAAATTGTTGCCATTGCTGCTGAACTGATTGCATTTCATTGAAAAGTATTGAATCAAGTACTGAATCGTCATCCAGTAGTTCTCTGAAAAGAAAAAAGACCAGAACGTCTTGTACCACAAATTAACAACAAAACGTACGTGCTTGAAGTGATCGTTGGCGCAATTTTCTTCTTCTTTTTCTTTTTACTTGCCTCATCTTTTGGACAAAGCAGTAGACCCTGAGATGGAACTGCAGTTTCATCATCGTCAGCCGGAGGTATTTCTCGTTTCTGATGTTCGAATGATAATTTTTTCACCAATGGAACATCTAATAACAATAAGGAAAAAACAAGATTAGCTATCAATGGTGAATAGTACAAACTTTTAATGAGTGTTGTGATAGGCTGCTTTTGTGAGTGGTCAGTACGATTCGATCGTAGTTTGGATTTTGATGGTTCAGTTGCACCTGATTCCATATCTGCACGAGTTGACGCTTCCTTTAAGAAACTTTTTTCCGTCGTTGAACTTTCCATCGGATGTGCTAAGAAAAGCCGTCAATTCTTATTTTTGTCTGACATGGAAAGGAAAACTTCTGCATACCTGCTACTAATTCTGTCGTGGCATTATATGGCGACGATTGTCGAAGTTTCTTACTGCACAGTCCGTTTTGTTTTAACTTTCGTTTTTGACTGTTTTCTTGACTAAATAAACAAGTAGATTCTTTGTATGTTTTTTTTCCCGGAAAATAAATAATGTTCTTCAAGTTACTTCGGTGATATATCTACACTGCTGGATTTTATCTGAGAGTGTCTTTTATCTGATGAACATTGAATTTTATCAACAACGGATAGTTTTTCTGGTCGTAAACAAGACTTCTGCAGATCATGGGACGATGCTGACTGGCCAACATCCGATGTGTCTACCGAAGAATGTTCCAATAGCTAAAATAAACAAAATTCTGTTGGTTAATATCACTCGTAAAAACGATTTCATGGTTACCTGTAGATGTTCACTATCATCCGCTATTGTCAATGTATTTTGTGAGTCTTGATCGAGTTCAACTTGCCTTTTATCGTACAGTCCAACGCCAGGTTGATAAACAAATGATAATTGTTTTTTCTCATTATTCACAGTTGAAAGCGGCATTGACCAATTAGTTTGTGTTGGCTGTAGAACATCAGCTGATGAGATTGAAGGTGAATCACACAACATTAAATATTCATATCTAGAAAAAAAGAACGAAATAACTATCAATAGTTTCTCCTTTTCTTCTGTTTTTTTTCTTTTAATTAGCAAACAAGTAATGATGTTACAAATTCGTTTGTGATTTCTTGTCGATCAACGTAACAAAAGAAAACAAAAACAAAACAAGTGATGAAAACGATATTTGTTGTTGTTGTTGTGATCTTGTCGTTGATTAGTAACTGATAACTTGATTTTTCTTCTTCTTTTCGGCACCCAATTCGAAATGTTTAGTACGTTTGATGGCTAATTGTTTTTTGAATTTGCACTCCGTACATTCCATTCGTAAAACAATTTTCTTAGTTGTTTTAGCTTTCTTATGAAACACAGGTTTCTTTTGACCACCATAACCTTTTTGTTTCATGTCGTAACGTCGTTTGCCTTGAACATGAACACTGTCTTTGCCTTTTTTGTATTGGGACACTTTGTGTAAGGTGTGTTTTTTGCAGTTTTTACCCTTGCAAAAGGTACGACGTGTTTTTGGTACGTTAACCATGTTGTACTTGTTCTTTCGATGGAGAAGAAAGACAAAATCTAGAAAGAAATATTATTTGAATAATGTTAGTGTTTGAATGATTGGCTTTTCATGTGTATGTATGTACAAAAAAAGTGAATATGATAAATAAATGAACGAAATAAACAAGTACAACACTAAAACCGCACGACAAATACAAAGATTAAATGTGAAAATATCTGACAAAAGAATGAACTTTCATTTTGTTCAACCTAATCTTCTTCCTTTCATTTATTTACTGGACATGCTACCAGGTGCTGGTAATTGCTGAAGAACATTGTCAAGCCATTGCATTGGACCATTCAGATGAATTTCTACCCAACATGGTGTACTCATGATTGTACGACGTCTGCGAAAGACAACATCATAATACTACAATTAAATATCATGAGAAACGAAAGATCTTACCGATATTCTTCACCCCATCCTTTAACAAAACTCATTCGAATAGCACAGATTCGTGTGAGATTGTAAACAGCTTCGTAACCGTATTGAATAGTTTCACTTAATGTTTGAGCAAATTCTGTGTTACTGAAGATCTTTAAATTACAGCCTAAATGAAACAGAACGATTTGTCAAATATTACTTGTGCCATGTTTTTCGTGAAACAATAAGGAACTCACGTGGTGGAATTTTACACACAGTTGCAGGATGCCATTGAAAACGTTGATTACAACTTGGACTTTGTACAAATATTGGTGTATCTGACAGACATTCTGCAAAGACTTCACCGCCGATGTAATAAAGTCGAACACCATTACCAATCATTCGTCGGCATGCTTCACTTTCGGCAGTACGGTTGATGTTTGTAAGTGATCCAAGACAAAACCGATCTGATGCGTTCGGGTCACAGAAACCATCAATAACAAGTGAATTGAGTGAAGCATGAAACGTTTCACCCACACGTTGGTTCAATTCGTAATAAAGTATCGAGCACCAAAACAGTGTTTCAGCATAAGCGATAGGTGCGGTTTGAACACCTGAAAAGTCAAATGATGTACTTATTGAGAACAAGTTTCTGTTGTTACCGTTTAAATTCGTTGGAGCAGCAACCTGGTGCTGATTCATTGTTGCTTGTGTTGGTGTCATTGCTTCGTAATTGTCTTGTATACTTGCTGGACTATTCACAGCAGTACGTTGTTGATCCGCTGGTGATGTTGCAACTAATCACAAAACAAAATGAAAACTTCTACAGTTTGTTTCATATCACATACAATCCATCGGAACTGTCGAATCGGGTTGAATTTGCATTCGTTCGCTAGCTGTCGAATCAAACACAGCGCGATCAGAAACAGGAACGTAAACTGGTGGAATAACTAGAAAAGAAGATCGAATTTGATTTTAATCATTCAAAACATTTGGTTATGAGACTTACATGGTGCAACAACTCGTTCTGAATGGTAGGGATTGACACAAATCTGATCTTTTTCATGCTGAAATGCATATACACATGTATCGATTGGACGTAATTCCATGTGAGTATTTAAATCTGGCCAACGCCATATACGGCAGAAAGCGACAACAGGTGTCACATCATTGAATGCCTTTCGAACTGTTGAAGATGGATTTGGTTCGACCAATTTCTTTTGTGCATCTCTAGATATACGAATCTATTAGCTAAAAGTACGAACGAAAATGTCTTTTTACCTTGGAATAGTTACACAGCGCGTTTGCGGATTTTGATTATCCAATGCTGCTTGCAAATCATCGACCATAGACGCTTTGGTTAACCGTTTAATTAACCCTTTGATGGCTTTTTCTGACCATTTATCATCGCTTGAATTCGGTTGAATATTTTTCCGATGTTGTAACAAATTTTTCAACGTTTGAGGATTGACTGAGAATGAAAAGGGTATATTGAACAGGTTGCTCATTATTAAATCTAACAAATCGAATGAAATATTATTCAAAACTAACAAACAACAGGCGATTAAAAGAATAGAGAGAGGTGGTGGTCGGCATATTGAAATTGTTTGTGATATTGACCTCTACTGATTCGTGTATACACTAGGTCAATATGCATACTGTGTCAAGAGGTAAAAAGTAGATTTTGTAAAAAAAAGATCGATTGAATTTGAAAAGATTTTTCTCGAGAAAATTTACATTATTCTAATATTTATCTTTTTGATAGATGGCAGTGTAATTGAACATCAAAATGAAGAGCTGAGTGCTCGATTAGGATTGGCGGAAGATATCATCCAATAGAATTATTGATTACATTGAAGTTTTTAGAGAATATTCAAAGGGAACATATTGTATTGATTAACAATAGAAATATTATCTATTTCATTTCTCTACAGCTGTATTCTGAATTGTATACTGATCTGTATTAGTTTAGGTAGCGGTTTAGTAGATGTTTTATTCTATCAATATGATATATTTGTCAAATTGAATGCGTTTTTTTTCTTTTTATCAGCCGATTTTGAAGGTCTGCCTGCAAGCATAATAGTCTCCTCAACAATTTCAATACATATCTGCACTCCAATAAGAATATTTTCTTTTTTTCTAGATGATGAAGTTCTCAAATTATTGACGATGAATCAAGAGTAGGGAAAAGGGTACACCTTTGAATTATCATATCTTTGTGATGACACAGTACTTGTCGATAACCACAAACTTGATCTTATCAGCCCGAAATCTTTGTTTCGATGGAATCGCATCTCTATCTTGTACTAAATCATCGAACAGAAAAATCGACTCTTGTTGTGGAGCAGTTACGGAAGATTAAGAGTAGAAATATTGATATAAAAAAGTGTTTTATCAACAAGCTGGTGTGCTTCAGTCATGTGAAAAGAGCAAGATGAAAATATCATGTTTATTTTTTTCTTCTACTGTCTGTCATACGATCAAAAAAGCAAACATATTTTTATTCTAGATGTTGATTTGGGGTATAAAATATGTTCAAACTTGAATCATATATAACACCATGGCTCCTATCGTATATTGATCAATACGTAAAACTACGTCGAGAAGATTTTCAATTATCTCTATGGGGTGGTGATGTTGTTTTTTACAATCTTGAATTACGTCTAGCAAATATTCAAAAACTAGTTCCAACCCTTCCAATTGTCTTTCAAAGTGGAATTATTCATGAGTTACGCATTCATGTATGTACAGAAAGTTGACTATGTCGTGAAAAAGATAAACGAAAATTTTTCTTCTGTCATAGATTCCGTGGATTCGAATAAATTCCGAACCCATCGTTGTTACTATCAATCAAATTGAACTTGTCATTGTTTTAAATAAAGAATGCACATCAACTAATGATTTTCCATCGTCCACTTCGAATGAAATCAATTCAGATCAAGTACTTATCCAACAGCAGCAACCAGCAACGCCGGAGCAATCTAATTACGTCCAAACGGTTCTTGCGCGTATTCTCAACAATGTTCAGATTGTTGTTAATAATCTAGTGGTGAAATTTATCGAGCATGATATCGTCATATCATTGTCATCACGAACAGCGCAATGCTATGCTGCTAATCAAAATTGGGCGAAGGCATTCATTGAATTAACACAACAAGATTTATCATTACGACGTTTGATTTCTTTACCAGATATAACATTATGTTTAGATAAACGTGATTTGAATGGTAAAGTTCATCGATATGAAGTTCCTCTATTATCACGCTGTTCATGTGAGTGCCGTATCCAAATGTCGTATGCGAATGTTTATCAACAATTGAATACGAAACCAATTCAAACACGGTTAAGTTTTTACTGCGCAAATATTGAAATTTCGATTGTTGATAATCAACTATCGATGTTAATGCGTTTGATAGAAAATATCATGCTACTGATTGATCAACAAATTAATTCGAACGGCGATAAACCATTGAAAGAATTCAAGAGAGTACCATCGAAAGAACTCTCACCACCGCCGTCACCTGTGGCACTTCCACCTCCGTTACCCTCCTTACCTCCGTTAATACCAGTTGAAGAGAAAACAGTAGAATTAAATCCTGCACAACCCGGTTGGATTTCATGGGCATGGTCTTATGTACCATCAGTAACAACACTTTTCACAGAGGAGGAAGATCCATCCGTCGATGGAAATAATTCAGAGGTTTTGCCTAATGAACAACAACTAAATATAGAAGAAAATAAACTAGCTCGCGTGGAAGAACAGAATCCACTATTGATGAATAATAATAATAATAACAACAATACACCAACACCGATCCTCTTCGCTGGAATTGATATCGATCGAATTAGTTTACAATACAAAGTAAGGAAGAGTTCGTTTTTTTCTAAAACTTATTTGAAATTATATCTTTTCAGATGACAAAATCCCTTGCCAATAAGTCTTCTCATGTACCATTCCTTACCTTCATTGTCGAAAAAGCCAGTATGTAAACTTATCATCATACTCATTGTCCATCCGCCAATATTGTGCACTTGTTTTTAGATATTATTGTCGAACGGTATAAACCTACAAGTACAACTGCACTCGATGGTCAATCGGTAGTATCGAGTGTTCGCAAAGTCAAAGTATCAACATCGAAAATGTCTCTGAGTTGGGATGAATGCTTACGTTTATCGCTATCGGACGTTCATTTTACATTACACTATGATCGTCATGTACGTATGACGCGATTTTCTTTGATTGTCAATGATTTACATGCACGTTTGAATCACCATTTACTTATCTATCCATGTCAAGCAACGTTAAAACTCGACCATCATCAAACATATTCATTGCTTCATTTAGAATTTTCCTCGTTGACTGGTAAACTCGATTTCAATATTTTAGCATATTTAATCACAGTTATCAATCAAATCCGAACAATCGTCGACGTGTCCATAGCTTTATTTCGACCTTTACAGATCAACGAACATGTCGAAGATGACATTATATCTGTTGATGATTTAAGAAATGGTTCAATGAAATGTCTATTTCAATCCTCCAATGATTTGCCTAATACAAATGAAATATCATTTACAACAACTAATCATCATGCATTAGCATCATGCATGACATGGAAATATCCCGAACGAAGATCGATTCTTAAATGTCATATACTTCCATTACCATTTCACGATGATCTAACCGGAGTTGTCATCCCACACCGAATTAAAACAGTAGGATTCGTTTTATTTTCGATAAATTTTGATTGTAAATATGGATTATCATTAGGTTGAATGTCTAATGCAATATTGGCATTTTGGTACTAAACAATTTGTTACATGGCAAACATTTGAATTGACCGATGGTCAACCTCTATTTCTGGATTTTAGTAATGATCTCGGACAAAATCCTTATTCGGAAATGTGGCGTGTTGTTTTGGTGAATGCTTCGTCGATTATAAACCAAGCTGATTCCTTGGCTGCTTCAACACGCATTGATTCCCTACAGAGTCAACGGTATGAACCATCTCTTGAAATGACTATTAAAATTGCTACAATTCATGTCAATTTCATGATTGATCCTCCGGTAATGCATTTTCTGCTTTTGAAAAACAAAAGAAGAACTTGGTTATGTTCATTTTCTAGAAAATAAAATCTTCATCCAAATTTCAATCGATTCTTGGTCAATGTCAACACGATATTTTAACATTACATTTAGACAATATTTCCTTTGACTATAGTCAACGTCTCGAAACGAAAACAATTAGTATTGAAACGATTCTTTCACTCGAAGCATTAGAGTATCGCTTTTTAACAAAACGTTCTTGTATCGAACCAGCTCTGATCAATTTAAATCTATTCATTGACGTATCGAAGTCAAGTGTATCAACAACATTTCCCCAAGTATTCGATTTGAATAACGGAAAGTATAATGAATTGTTTCGTTCAGCTAAAACCTCATTTGTTTGCCAATTGCATTTTGACATCGATCATATCAATATCCGATTAAGTCAATCGTTGTGTCATTTGATCAATATTCTTTATCAGCAATGGATTCGATCAGATATGATCAAAGTTTTAGATTTAAATCAACAAACACAAGAAGGTAAAACACCGAAATCATCCTATGATGATCATTGAAGTTTTCATTGTAGCTTTAGCGTTGACAAAAACCGATGAATCATTCTATTACACGTACTATCTGTTTACTAATCATTTGAATTGTTCAATTGGTTTGAAACAATATGATACCAATGATAAATTTCTCGTTCTTCCATCTTCGCAAACAACAGATTTCATTTGGTCTAAAATTCATACGAACGAAATGTTAATTCAATTCTCGCTCGAACACTTCTCATCCGATCCATATCGTTCATCACCAATCAATATTCATCATTCCGATAACAATCTGAAATCTATTGTTCAATTCGAAAATAGTCCACATCTATTCTATTTACAAGTTCAATACGATCAACATCAAATTCGTCGTCATCTACATATCTTTGGCAAACTAATCTTCAAGAATCTTTGTAACATTGACATAAACTTAAAACTCTACTTGAGTGTCGGTTCACGACAAGTCGATATTTCGATTCTAGCCTACGAAACCTATGCAAGTTGCTTACAAACTAGAGAAGATATCGAATACATCCAATGGAATTCTTCACATAAATATATCATTGATCAATTGAATCAAGATGGAATCATTTCAACTAGTGATCAATCTTCCATATGGATACATCTATTTGATCAGGATAATTTTACTTGTATCGTGTTTACACCGATTGTTATCTATCGATCGTTTTTAACACAATCAGTTTTGTTACATTTGAATCAAGAGAAGCAATTCGTACTAGAATCAAATGGCTTGTATACATATTATTACGATGTCATTCTGGACAATATCAATCAAGTGTACGAACATCGATTGCAACAGATCGACGCGGAACAATTGACTGAATGTATATTTCAGTTAAATAATCAATCTTATTTGTCATTGGATAGAATCGAACAGACTCATTCCGATGATGTTTCATTACTTGATTATTTATTAGAACTTCAAGCATTGAGCTCGAAATCGTATTCAATTCTTGATCTTCTTCGACAAGAACATTTGAAAGTTAAACCAGCAGAAGATGGAATTCCCGTGCCATTGATTGAACAAACGAATGACATTCTGAATCCAACTATCAGCGCTAATGGACCCGTTGTAATCGAACCTCAAGTAAACTATCATCCAAAGAAGACTCCACCTTGTAAGTATATTGCGGACTTCAACTAAAGATTGATGTTTTTCTTTCTCAGTAATCAATCCAACCTTAATGACTACGAATTCCATCGATTGTCGTCTCGAATCCCTTCGTCTTTATTCCCATTTAAACACCATTTTAATTCAATTTAAACCTTCAACATTGATAAACAATCTCACCCCATTTAATTTCCATTTATATGCAAATGCTGGCCATAATCATGTATATATTCATTCGTCGGAATTGACATGTCTTTCAAAATTCGAATATAGTCAAATTCAATTCGTTCTCATCGATCCGCATGATGGCGAACATATTCAATGTCAGACAATTGATCTTTTCGTACGAAATATTCCGATGATTAATCCATCGACTTTGATCAATAATCGTTTGTACACAAATGGTTCGATCGATTTATATTTTATTAAATCTTCGAATAACGATTATTTTATTTGCCATGTTCGACATGAATATCTCGATCAAACACATATTTTAACCATCGAATCGAAATATCAAGTTTGCAATCGAACAAATCATCTGTTATCTTGTTTGATTTTGCCGATTTCCAAGCAACAACTTGCAATTGATTATCCGTACAATTCATTTCAAATTAAAGCGAACGAAAACCTTCCGTTGTATCGTTTCCAAGGTGTACCATCGACAGATATTCATTATTATGTTTTATTTCAATCGGACAACAATGATAAACAATATTTATCAAAACCCATCCGAATATTTCCGTTAGTTGATGACAATGGCAATCGACAATGTTGTTGTCTGTTTCACAAAGATGATCAAATCAAGTACAAGAAAAATTCATCTCAATTCGAATTTGCTTCGTGTTTTTTTTCTCTTTAGACCGAAATCAGCAGCATTTCAAAGTTTGCGTGGTGAATTATTTTCCATCCATCAGTCAATACGAACGCCAACCAGTCAAATTGAACTAACCGTTCATTCCAACCCAACTTGGGCATTTCTTCAAGTGGTCAACTCTTGCGCATGTCCATTATTATGTCGACTAGAAAATCTTTCTTCAATGTCACATATCATTCCGCCCTTTTCATCTACTTTTATCGGAATCGATTCATCGGAATCGACAACAGCGAATTCGAATGTGAATACACTACAAAATTTAGTGAATGGTTCACGATTTTATCTCGCACAGTTTCTACCCAACGAACAGCCAAATCATATTATTCAATTAATGACAAATTATTTTCAACAAACAACTACAAAGAGTGTACCATGGAGTCGACCGATCAAGATAGATTCACAATTCGAAGATGTTTTCCTTCCAATACCTGGTTTACATGATGTTCTAATTCGTTCGCTACCAGTTTCGTTATTCGCAAGTCGAACGTTGATAATCGAACCTGTCCATCGTCAACGTTCATCTAAAACGGCTCCAACACCGAAACCAACGAAAACCAATTCAATGGGCAATGCTAGTTACCTCTCTCTACCAGGAACTACTGTCATATCGGAAACCATTCCACGTCACTATCGTTCATCAATGTCAGAACGAACATTGGCGATAAATACTTCAAATGCTACTAATCAATATCTAAAAGCTTGGCATCAACAATACAATCAAGCGAATCATCGACAAATTCAATTGAATTTTGCTATCAACAAAATCTCGGTATCATTAATGGATGAGTTAAGTGACATCTGTTTATTTCGCGAGATTCTTCGTTTAACAATCGACAAAACGAATCTGTTATTTTATCAACGTTTTATTGATACTGTGCCCTATTTACATCAACAGCAACTCTTCTGTGCGATCCATCAATTACAAATCGATAATCAGTGTTATAGTCCAAAGGATAACTATGATTTTCCCGTTGTGTTGATGTCAAAGGACGAGAAACGCGTGTCGAAAACCAAAGCGAATGTTTACGAACCCAAAGAACGCGCCGAGTAAGTTCGAGAGAAAACTTTCGTCCGTTCTTGTTGTTGTTTTCTTTCGAAAATTCAACGTACTTATCTCGGTCATGATCATGTCATCATAAAAAGAGGTCATGTAAATACGAATGGAAAAATATGATTTGATAACGATATCGATGAGATAGAACGTTTGCCTTGTTTTCATAACAAGCTGATAAAGAACCGACGACCTTTAATAATCGGTCAAACTGAAATCTGTTTCTTTTTTTGATGATTTAGATCCCATTCGTCAGTGATTAATCATCATCGACAAAATTCGTCATCGTCGATTGATACAACAGTCACAGAAGATCCATTTCCAGCATTTGATTCTTTATCTCACAATCATAAAATTTCACGACCAATTGTTGTCGATCATAATGAACCAAAGTTTCTTGCAGTACATTTCCATCGTATCAACAACCGTTTTATTAAAATCGACTTTCAAATTCAGCCATTTGATGTCTACATCGAAGATCATTATGTCTATGCATTACTAAAGATCTTCAGTCATCTTTTACCGCTCGATTTAGCTACTCCCTTATATATCAAAGAAAATGATCCAAGAGTTGAACTAATCGAAAACAAACTCCTCCGAACACCATTTGTTTGCGAATCTTTATACATAGGACCAATTGACATTGTTATCAGTGTACATGCATCGATGAAAGTTTATATCGGTTGCCATCAATTACCTATGTTTACAGATAAATTTCAAAAACATACGATTTATTCGACAAACAAACAATTATTAACATTGATAACTAGACATTATCTTATGTCTCTATTAACACGATCACCGCTTCTACTTGGTTCATTCGATTTACTAGGTAAAATTCCTTTGATAACAAAAAACTTCTTTTTATTTGCAATTCCCATTATTTCAGGTAATCCATCTGTATTCATCCGTAATATAACCGATGGTATCTATGATCTCTTTCACTTACCTTACGTTGGAATGAGACAAGGCCCAAGTGGATTCATGTTTGGTATATCTCAAGGTGCTACAAGTCTATTGAAACATTTTTCACTTGGTAATTGATAAAAACAATGACAAACTGCTTTCTAGTGAAGACACCTTTTTGTCCTTGTCTAGGTACATTAACATCGGTAACAACATTCGCGAATAGTGTGGCACGAAATATGGATCGATTAGCGATGGATTCCGAGCATACAACGCGCAATGAAGAAACTTGTCGACAAATTCCAACGGGAATGACCAGTGGCCTTCTACAAGGTCTTGAATTATTTAGTTTGAGTTTATTAGGTGCTATTGCCGGTCTAGCCGAACAACCCTTAGCGTCGTTTCGTAATCGAGATGATTCTCAAGCTGCTACAACAACTGTCCTATCCGGTGTTGGTAAAGGTCTTGTGGGAATTGTTGCTAAACCAGTTGGTGGTGTTGCTCAACTAATATCACAAACAGGTCAAGGTATTCTCTATGGAACTGGTTTAATGAATATTCCACATCGACGACATAGACAACTAGAGCAAGATGCTCGTATAAACACAACAATTAGCTATCTTAAACTTTCTCATTCGTGTCAAATAGCGCAAAATCAAGATGATATACTTGATATCTTAGATTATGTTCTCGAACATCACAATATTGAACATGGAATCTTGATATTAACCAAGAATCGACATTTAATTGTGTATCATAAAGACGATGAACATCAACATGGAGATTACCTACTGAATGATATTGAATTAAATGAATCGCCTGATTCGTCGGGATTGTTAGAATTTAATGATCTTTCATTCTATGTTGATTCACGTCTTCGTCATCAATTTCTTGCTCTATACCGTCTTATTCGTCAATAATATCGTTTATTTTCTTCAGTCTCGAATCTAACGTTTTCAAGTATTGAACTGTGATTTGTTTTTTTCTCTTTCTTTGTTTCGTTTTGTTAAACCTACCGTTTTCTTTTCTTTTCTGTTAGTCAATTCTTTCTTATTATTTATTATTTCTGTTGAGGTTTCTTCTTTCTTTCTACTTTTAATCGGCTCATAAAATACACATATATCTATGCAAACAACATTTCGATCAATGTTGCCAATAGAATGAAACATCTGGCACATAATGGCACGTTTCAATTTCGAAGGCGTTTAATGACGTCGAATGTTTTCAGAGTGACGACTATTGATTTTAGCAAAATACAACATCGAAATTCGAATGTAGATGTGTGACTGTGTTCCTATGAACTGAAATAGATAAGGAATGTACTTTTTCGTTGAGAATCTTTAAGAAACATGTACAGGTAAACGACTGATAAAAAAAGTTTTCAAGGATAAAGAATTAGTCATATGTTTACGAAATAATTAACTTACGATACTTTGAAATAAATGCTATTCTAACGAACATTATTTTGGATTTAACGAGAAAATCATTTAGATACCTAATTTGAACGTATGTTTTGCTCATTCGAAAGTCTCTTCATTCGTTACAGTGAATTGAGGTTAAGCAGTGAAAATTCAAACTAAACTTATTTTTCTTATCAATTGCAAGCGTATGACCATAGCAGAAATTCTTTTCTATTTATCTTTTGATATCTTGTCATTCACCTTTATCCCGTGATGTTATAGTCAAATAAATGACATATTTTATTTTAAAATAATTTTATTCAAATGTATTTCTTTTTTGTTTTTGGTTATTCGTTATATGTCTGACATTAAAAAAAAGAGAATCGTGTACAATTCGTACAAACCATCATATACTTGTGTTTATACACTATTCAACGAAAGAGAGAACGAGAAAAGACGTATTTTTTTTGGTTTGTTACAAATAACAAACGTTAAAGGTTGAGAGTTACTTCTAAAAAAAGAATGTTCACCAAATATTGAAAGAGATCCAGTATGGATTGAGTACTAACCACTAAGAATGATCCATATACAGAAATAGATGAGCAAATGAAAGACTAGAGAATGAATAAATAGAGGACGACAATGAAAAAAGGAGAATTAGTTTTCAGTGAGTAAATGTTTGACGCGCATTTGAAAAAGAACGTATTGACGATGATAGTTTCGAGCTAATTGTAATGCATGTCGAGCATCATGCTGTCGGACAAGACGAGTAAAATACGAACCAATGTGATCATCATCATCGTCAGTATTCAATCGTGACATTTGCATAATTGACGAACGATTTTGTTCGAGTAATGCAACGCAAAGAAAGATAGTGAACATATCGGAATATTGTTCATCGGTATCGATCGAGGAAAAGTGTGTCAACCATTTTCCTAAGGATATATTTAATATTGAATTGGAATTCGTCGATGCAGTTAGATAGCAAGAACTATCGAGTCTATTCGAACGGAGATTCAGATCGAATGTGCCGGGTAGTTGTTCATCACGATAACCCGAATCTCCTCCATCGAGACTTGAATGTTGAGATCGTGTATCTTCTAATGTCGGTGAAGACGAACGTGATGATAAAATTGTGTTCGATATCGATGACATGAATGATGAACGATGTGGATTACATAATGATGATGGACAAAGATCATCTTGATCCGAAAATGTATTATCATGATTGAATTCGAACGTATCGATTGGTAATGATGCCCAAAGGGTTTCAAAAACACGAAAGATATCTTTGAATGGAAATTCGCGTTTACAATCCAATAATAACCATCGGAAAGTAAACATCAGATTACCTGGAAAGGCCGAAAATTCCTAAAAGATTCGAATAAACGACGAGACTCACCAATATCGCACTGTTCAATCTTCATCCAGAGGTCCATATCAATCGCCTGTATAGTCTTTCGTAATAAACTCAACCGTCGGTTCATGGCATTACCGTTGGGATGAAACAATGGGCTCATATAACGCATAAGTGAACAAAAACATGCATATGTTAATGCTTCGTCACGTATCACATATAAAAGCGGTGAGACCATATCATTCATTCCTAAGAAGCAAAGCAAAACTCATTCTGAAATTGTACTAGAGCGATCAAAGAGTTTACCTTGAATGTAACCGGGCTCGGGATGATAAACACTGTACGTCATCAGTATATTGAATAACTTTTGACATGATAAATTTTCTTTATCATCAAAGAATTTCACAGAACGATCCGTACGTCGTACATCTTTTTGAATTAGGTTATCTAATGTTGTAATTTCGACATCACCCTGCTTACATCGATTCTGCCAGGCTTGTTTCATTCTAGAATACGCATGAATATAGGTTTGCGTTTATCTAATTAGTAATCTTACTCATTATATCGTTCTTTCGCCCGGTGAGTATATTCACTTTTATCTTCATTAGTCATTGATTCATTAAAGACGCGTAATAGATAACACCAGACTATCTTTCGTATGGATTCGTCACAACCATGATCAAATATTCGTTGTCGAAAAAGTTGCTCATCAAGTAGACGACCAGTGGATGGATCTAACATTTGTTGAAACTCTTTTTTCGTCACACAGTTGTTCGACGAAGAATTTACTGAGCCATGTAACCAGCCTAGAAAAAAAAATTTCGATCGAGAAACAACAAGTGCACGAACGATGACTTACCTGTTGCTTTTTGTAGAAATGATTCTTGTCGTTGATCTTTCGGTTTCACTGTTACTATGATGCAATCGTTTTGGATGGGAATAATTTCGAAATTATCATCTTTTCGCTCAGCAGTACTGGAACTTTCGTCTAGAATACACCAATCATCTGAATCATATTGAAGTTGATCTTTCGTTCGAGGATATTTGTAAACAATAAATTCTAAGGTTGAGTGTTGTTTATTCTCGTCATCGATTTCTTCAGTCATATTCATTATACAGCCATCGACGTCAAAATCGTCAGTGACAGGAAAATTGCATCGGAACGAAGAAGATTCTTTGGCAATTAATGTGAAATTGGAACGCAAGTTAAATGTTCGATTAATTAAACGAACAAGAAATGAATAGGATAGTAACTGAGTATCGACAGAGAATTTCTTTTTCAATTGACACAAGTTACACTCGTTTAACTAAAACAGAATCGATTGGATTTTCAAATGATTCCTTCTCGATTAACTCACCGAAATAGTAAAAACAACAACATTTGGTAAACGATAATCGGATTGAAGTTGACGATAGTGAAGTTTTGAAGTAAATGTAGACGCAACCTTTAAGAAAAAAGAAACGACGCCATTGTGAAATGTGATATATATGTACGTGTGCACTAGTGATTCACCATCGATACTGACGAAATCTCTCTCAGCTGTATGACACACCTGATACTATCTTCTTGTTTATTATAAAGAAGGAAACGAGAAAGAGTAAACACAAATTACCTCATCACTGTTATTACATTCAGGGTAATCATCAGTCCCAAGTGATATTGAAGATGTCGGTGAATGTGATGTATGCATTTTGTTATTGTTAGTTGGAGGCATAAGTGGTTACGAATATATATATATATGTGTATGTGTATGTGGAGAGAAAGGTAGATATGTGTTTATTACTTAAAACGAGAACACATCGGATATGAAATATTTAAGTCCAAAAAAATAACGTTTTTTCTCTTCTCGACTCAGAAAACAAACAGTATGACGGAATGATGGTCTATGCACCGTCGTTGTGACACCAGATGTGACCCTCCTATAATACGAATAGAAGTAATGCTGTTGCGCTTGTTTCGTTCTGTGTATTTCTCTCGTTTTTTTTTCACTAGTTTATTCGTCGCCGGTCTTCACCTCTGACATTCTTCGTTCTCTCTCCTTCTTGCAGATATTTTTTCGCCTATTGTGTGTTCTTCTGTATATCCATCCAATAGATGAGGGTCAATTCGACAAGAGTATAAAAACTTGCAGTTGATAAACTTCTTATCGATATCGAGGCATCAAGGCCAATCTTTGTTTCTATAGTAATTCATTTTGTTATTTATTTTGTTCGATCTATGCATGAAATATTTACGATTCAAGTTGGACAAGTAGGCAATTCAATAGGAGAGAAAGTGAGTTAAATAGAGCAATTTCTTCTCTAAACTCAAAGATCAGTTTTGGGAATATGTTTGTCACGAACATGGAATCGATTCAATGGGAATGTATCATGGCGATAGTGATTTACAACTTGAACGAATAAATGTCTATTTTACTGAAGTTACACAGGGAAAATATGTGCCGCGATCGGCTTTTACGGATTTAGATGAATATTCTGTGAATAAAATTCGAAATTCTATGTATAGACAGTTGTTTCGACCAGATTTGATAGTGAATGGCAACATGAGTGCCAGTAATAACTTTGCTAAAGGATTTTTCACTGAAGGTGGAATAGAAAGAATTAAAATGGTGAACAAAACTAGGTATGGATTGTTTCAGGGGCTGAAATCCTACCGGAATTACTTGAAAAAATTCGTCAACTAGCTGAAGAATGTGATGTAGTCCACGGTTTTCAATTTCTTCATAGTATAAGGGGTGGATGTGGTGGAGGATTGGGTTCGTTATTACTTGATCATATTCGACAGGAATATCCTGATCGAATAATCAAATCTTATTCAATTGTTCCTGCGTTGTCCATGTCTCAAGTTTTTGTACGTTGAAAACGTGCTTGACAGATTAATTTGTTCATTTGTTATTTCTCTCAGATTGACCCATACAATGCTGTACTGACGATGAATCGTAAGATACGAGTAAAGTGAATTAAAGTGATGAAATTTAACTTAGATTTGATTGAAAATGCGGATGAAACGTTTTGTTTTGACAATGACGCTCTCTTCGAAATCCTACACAGAACTCTTCGGTTTCCACCGGCAAATGATACAGATATCAATCAAATTCTAGCCCAAGTTATGATCGGTGTTACCGCTTGTTTTCGATTTCCCGGTAAAAATATTGAACGTTCTCAATAGAAATCAAACAAGAACGCTTCTTTCAGGACAACTAAACATGGATTTACGTAAATTAGCTGTGAATATGATTCCGTTTCCTGCACTTCATTTTCTAATGACATCATTGTCACCAATTCAAACGAATTCCTATCAAAATCTAACTGAGCAATCTCTTGTAAAACAGATGTTCGATAAAAATCATCGAATATCAGCCATTCAGCCACATGAAGGCAAATATTTGACAGCAACAGGCGTCTTTCGATGACAATCGTTATCAATGAGACTCCTCCATGATCTACTCGCGACTGAAAAGGCGAATCACCGTTTTATACAATGGATTCCGAATAATGTGCGTAAACATCAAGTCAACGGTAAATGTTTCATTCATTTCTTTTGATATACTAGTGTAAAATCGCTCATTGTGATATTCCACCAAAAGGTCTTCCACGTTCCGTGACTGGAATATCGAATCATACAGGAATAGTGCAACGATTTGATTATTTCTTACAACCGTTTAAGAAATTGTTTCAACGTCGAGCATTTATTCATTGGTTCATTGACGAAGGAATGGAGGAGATCGGTTTGTTTGTTTTATCCTCCGTAGTTCATTTTATCAAGTGATTTAATGTTTGTTTTATGAAGAAATTAGCGAAGCCGGCAATCGAATTGATGATTTGATTAAACAATACAAATCAATCGATAATCAATAAGTAGTTTCAGTGATGAACCTTTGAAGAAAAAAAATTTATGTTTACAACGAACATTTGTGAAAGCTTTCTCGAAGCCTCTGTGGCGAAGCGGATTAACGCGTTGGACTTCTAATCCAAAGATCGTGGGTTCGATCCCCACCAGAGGTGGTAGTCGATATTTTTTTTCTTCATACTTGCAAGAACAGAACAGAACAAAATAACACATATGCATTCATCGATATAGTTTACGTTAGAAAAAATATATTTGTTAACATTGAATTACAAGAAAAAGAAGGAAGTTTATTAGGCAATGAGCGAAGGAGCAAGACGTTTTTGTGTTTTATTGTACGATTTTTCTAGTTGATCAAAACGATTCCATTCTGGATTTGCTCGCTAAAACAAGGAACAAGAAGAGATAGTGTTGGAATACAAAACGAAGAGGAAACATACGAAAGTTGCAGCACGCCCGGTCGATGGTACCGATCTTACATTGAGTGAAGCAAGAGTGTCACGCGTCTGTTGTTGTTTGGATAGACGATGGTGTTTTTTATTTTCAATATCTTGTTTCAGTTGTTCTAACTCAGGATTTTGCTCGGCTCGAGACGGTGCACTCACTTGCCGGTGTTTTCTAGTGAATGAAAAGAAAAACACCGAGTGATTCCATTGTAAAACTCGTAATATCGTTGAATAGTTACTTCTTTGCAGCTTGAGCACTCAATTCATTTCGGTATTTCACTATATTTTGAACGGATGTTGTGATCATTTGTTCTTTTACTTGTTTATCTTTAACAATTTGATCGCGTCGGCTTTCACGTTCTTTCTCCCGTTCGAGTTTGACTAATTCCAGACGTTCTCGGAGTTCTGCTATAGACATTTCATCATGTACACCGTGTCCAGCAACTGTTGTTAAATCAACCGGTTTCCATCGATCAATAGGCACTGATTCGAGTGCACGAATTTGTTGAATTAATTCAGCACGTTGCCGCATTTCCGCTTCGGCCTAGGAAAGAGAAGAAAAGAATGGAATTGATGTAAGTTTCTGCGATTATTTTCTTGACTTCTTCGAGTGCTTGTTTCATCATCTGTTTCGTGTCTTCTTTATATTGTTTAACAAAATCCGCTTTGTACTGTTGAAGTTTCTGTTGAGCAAGTTTAGCATTTTCTCGTCCGGCAACAACTTCATCAATCAGTTGTCTATGAAAGTTGGAAATCGTTCCAATCATGATCAATTCTGTTTCGACTTACTTCATTCTTTGTTCTTCTTTAACTTTGTCTTTGACATGTTCTTCGACAATTTCTCGTGTTTCACGTTTCAATTCTTCCGCTAAACGTCGGTTCTCCTCAACTAATCGTTGTCGTGCTAAAATCGCTTCTTCATAACTCATCTTTCCCTCTAATCTTTTTCGTTCAATAGCATTCATTTGTTCGTCATAGTCTTGTTTTTGCATTGCTTGTTGCCATTGAAGAAATTCCGTTGCATCTTTGCCTCCCGCTTCGAAATCAAGTAAACGCCGGCGAACATCATCTTCTTGTTTTTTATACAGTTGACTTTCTTTTAAAACGGTGGCAACATTCAGTTTAACGGGGATTTTGTTGGTCTGAAATGAAGAGAAGAAATAAATCGAATGAGAGAAGAACACTGTACTTGAGATTTAGGTGGTGAATTCGCACGAAAATGTTCAAATTGAAGTTCGTTATCTCGTTCTTCCGTTATTTTGTTTAACTTTGATTGAGTTTTAGCTGATTTTTCTGTTTGCATAAAATTGGCACTCAATGCGCGTGTTTGATCAAGTTTTTGTAAACTTCGTCGGTAGTTTTCCTCTCGAATCTTCTCCAATTCTAATTCTTCGCGAGATGGTCCATACGTCGTTTTCGGTACGGGACGAGATTTTTCCATTTGTGGTACCTACATAAGCAGACTTAGAAAAGTCAAAGCAACAACGAGAAAACATACTATTTTCGGTACAGGCACAGTTCGAGGTTTTGGTGCAGTTAAATTGAACGGTTTCGTTTTCGTTGGATCAGGCACTTGACGTGGAGCTATGTGTCCATCGACAGCATCGGAAAGATCAAGTAGGATGGCGCGCAAATCAGGTAAATATCTAAATGTTGAAGTTGATTCTTGGAATCAAAACTAAATCGTTGACAACATACGTTTTTATCACTCCTGAAACTTTGCCATTCATATATTCTTCGTCATAAACTTTCATGCATTGTCTTTCGACCGCTTCGAGATGTTTTTCATTGATTAGAAATTTTAAAAACTAAACAAACCATAGTTTGACTTTGACTAAAAGGCAAATCTTACCTGATGTATTCGATTTAGATGAATCGAATTGACAAAACCACGAAATAATTTCATTTGAATTGTATCAAGTTGGAAAAAGATCAAATAAGCGATCACTAAACATATTGACGGTTTATCTTTCGCAATAACACGATCTATCTAACCTTTATAGATATTTTTCTCTGATTTTCGTACGTTTACACCATCAGTCGCGTAAAAAATGTCGATAACTGTTTTTAATAATGTCGAATGACGCATACAATCGAATAAAATAGTTGATACAAACGCTTCATTTGGAACCTAAACACGAAAAAAACCATCTTCGACTTCGAATCGAACGCGTTTCCAAGGAAATTTAATACTTGATTTTCTCGGAAGTAATTCTCTAAGAAAACTTCCTCCGAAACATTTTCTGTATATTCGTTCAATACTTGGACGCAGTGATAGAAAAGTTCACTATAGGTATTAGCGTTTCTATTCATTTCGAATGAACAAGAACAAAGCTAATCGCAATGAAAATCACCATTGATAATGTTTGTACCATGGTGACAAAAACCAGAAGAATAAATCATAATGGATAAAAAATAACAAAATGTTAATTTATTGAAAAAATATTTCATTGATTATTTTTATTTTTATTTCAGAATCTAATTCAAAACAAATGATTTCGATTGGTTGATTCATTGTCGAATTAAAATCGCTCACTCATTTTTGTCTGTGCTCTGCGCGTTCTCTTCTCTTTTCTTCACATCCATCCCGAATGAGTTTTTTATTTCCCCACTGTGTCGATCCTCATCAAGGTCGAATGTACATTCAAATAGTTTTGCTTCTATTATCTCCAAGTAAGAATCCTTGAATGAAATCCTACAAAATTTCAATTGGATATTCTAGTCTCATTTGCTTATCATCCAAATCCAACGCCATGGTTTTGTACAGATCCGACTGCTTTGGACTCAACCGTTGAAATCTCACAAAAGCTACCATCATGTCTGCCAGGATATGTCATTGACATCGAAGATGTCGTCTATGAATCGACTATTGATGGGAAATGTTCAGGCAAAAGTTTATGTAGTATACATAATAAAAATACTCTCTTATTTGCATGTAATCAGAAACAAGTATGTAGTGTAGAAATACGACATTTTCGTTTTCATATTAATTCGACATGCGGTTCAACCGTACGATTTTTTACTAAATATCGTTGTTTACCTGTCATACATGAACAAAAAGACTTTCTCTGTGAATCATCTCTTCGACGACCGAATGCCATTGATATTAAATTATCCTGTCAAAGATTTTATCGTTTACACATAACATTAGCATTGGTTGGCATTAGTATTAAGCAACAAGCCGATGAAAATCAACAACGTTTCAAATGTAACAAAGATACGTATTGGCTCTGTAATCATTATGTACCTGACGCTTATCGAAGTGTATGCAGCAGCCAATTGAATCGTGGCATTGGAGATTTTTGTGAAATCAAATCCTATGATCGACCGAGATTAAAAGGATGTCAATATGGAGAAATGTCGAATTTTTCATTAGTCGAATATTCATGTATACCAGGTAATGATGAGAGAAGAACAATTCTTTTTCAGTTTTCTCTCGTGTGTTTTATAGGCGAAGGTATAACCGAAGATCTTCCTCGAATTGATATTTGTTCAGATGGTTCATTCGAACGAATAACAGTCAACCATGGTCTTCTTCATTCTCCCAATTATCCTCATCCAGTAGGAAAATATTTATCATGTAAAAAACAAATACACATTACACGCGAATCGCGTCTGCGTTTATTTATGCTTGAGAAATCGATTGAATATTATCATGAATTAAACATTCGTCTACTAAACAATGAACCAAACATTCAACGAACATTAGCAAAAAATGAATTACTCGATACAAATATCACTAGTCAGCAGAGAAATGAAATTCTTGAAATTGAATTGAAAACAAACCATGTCGGTGGTGGCAATTTTTTACTTTATTTTCAAGGTAAAACTCCTTCATACACACTTCTCCTTCTTCTTTGTCTGCTAAATTGAGACAAATGTTCTATGACTATCACGTCAATGTTGATGAATGATGATCAACACGTACAGACCATTAACGCGTATGCTAATTTATTCTAGTCGATTCTCGCATCTCAGAATATGCACCGTTGGTTCTTGAAGCTGATAGAAAAACAAATGATCAGGGTCGCCGACAAAACCTATTGGTGAAACGCGAATGGGGTAAGTTATGAAAAGAGAAAAATCGTATATTACTTATTTAATAACTCTTCAAAGACCATAAAATAACTGTAAATAGTCCTTATGAAATAGTATTTACATAGGGAAGACGAGAGTTTCTATGGAAATTAAACAGAACGCAAAATAAATATTTTTTGTATGAAGACTGTTCTAATCAATCATCCTGATTGATGAATCTTTCCGAGGAAATATAATATTGCTTTGTTGCTCTCGTTTTCCTCCTAGAACACGGATAAACTTCCGTGTCGAACGTTAATTTAACAATGAGCCTGTCGCGACGGAAATTTTATTTCGACATCGAGAGAATAAAGAGCTTTAAGTAACGAGCGAATTAACATCATTGTGCCTTTTGATGTTGAATGGTGATTACGAGTCTTACGTCACACATTTATTTAATGGATGACCTTGACAGACAGAGTGCGTAGGACAAAGCTGAAGAAAAGATCAAACTATCGAACTTTTTTTTTTCATTAATTTCTTCGTGAGAAACGTGTGAGTACATACGATTGAGTTCATTTACATGTTGTATAATAACAATTACTATCCTTGGAGGTTAAACTCTGTGATTTATTGAAATAATATTCTTCTAGGAATTGTTATTGGAGGTTTAATCGGCCTTGTTTCTGTTGTTGCACTCATTGTCATCGTTCTGATCATTGTTCGAGTGTCAAAGTTAGTTGAATTGTTTTTATAAACTAACATTCTGTTCATCTCCGTGGATAATAATTTTTCAGACGTCGCCGTGCTGCATCGATGAAATATTTGAAAAGTGATGATGATCATCGTCAACATTTGAATGCTTCGTCGACTGATTATCATCATCCGCAAAAACCTATTCAAATTGAACATCCGCATTTATTATCATCATCAACGATAATTCCATCATTACCCAGCAATCATCGAGTGAATACTTCATCAGGAATCCATGATGGTCTGTCCGATCGCGAATCTCTCATCAAACAACAAGGACATTCTCATGCGACAAGTACGAATCTCGATGATTTCTACGAAGAAATAAAGGAACAACATCAACAATCAATTCATTTAGATCTAGGAACTAATCCTTATCTTGAACCGAAATCTTTCGACGATCGACGAAAGCTTTTCGAAGATCACAGATTATCGCAACCAATTCGAGATCATAACGAGGTATTCTATTATGAATATGATAGCTAAGCTTCTTATCCTTGCTTTAATTTATGCTTGCTTTTGTTTTCTTTCACCGCTTTTCTTACCTTACACATTGAATGATATTTGTTCTGTAATATAGTCATTGTTATTTGTCTTGTTAACATTCGAATAATTATTCTAGTCGTCTAATTCAATGTTGTGTTTGAGATTGATTTACTATTCCTTTTGTTTTGTTGCATTAATTTAATAAAGCTCTATTCAATCAAATGCTTTCCACCCTGCTTTGCTTTTTCGCTGTGTTACTTCATAGATTAGATCATATGAATTTCTTTTCTATGAATCTACTTAGACCGGTCAGCGTCTTCGTCGACCAGCACCATTAGCAACACCGGAACATGGCAATCGTCGTTTGGGAAGTGTTTTTTGTGATGCTCCGATGGCTAGTACGGAAACTTTGGATGTTGGATTCAATCAAGCGAGAAATGAACAAATGAAACGTCCAACTCAACCGCCACCTAAAATTCCACCGCCACGTATGGATTTACATCATCCAAAACCAAGCGCACCACCTCTTGATTTGGTACATCAAGAACATTTAAGTGAACACACACGTCCGAATCCACATTTACGCCATATTCAGCATCACAACCATCATCTAGTTTAGTATAGAACATAGGACAAAAACCTTTTTTCTTCGTACTTTTTTTTGTGCAACTCGATTAAATAGTGATTGTCTGTTCTTTGTATTTTCTAGTCCAATGGATTTCTCCTGTATGATGTATTCTCGAATGCAATTTTTTTAGCTGAACAAAACAAAATAAATCCATGATACTATGCAAAACAGATGTCTTTTGAACTTGTCACTTTTGTTCGTTCAATTGTTTCCTTAAGTAGTTCGATATCTGAGTTAAGTTGTTGCTGTTTTACTTTGATGATGTATGGAAATAAGTGTGCCGCTCCCTCTTTCAATAAGAAGCGATTTATCAGACAAACGAACAGAATAATTATTATTAATTGCGACTCGTCTCGTTCGTTCACACACTTGTCTTTCTCTCTCTTCGCTTCTCCTCTTTCTCTGTTGGAAGCAATAGACATTGATTCGCTATACGGAGAAGAAAACAATTGTTTTCTCCTTTTCACATGATCAGAATGTATATAATCGTTTAGCAACCAAGCAATTCCGCAATCGCTCTGACATACCACAGACGTAACGTATTACCGATTAGTCGAAAACAACAAGCAAATATGGATGATTATCATGAACGAAAATCTTTCAATCTTCATGTTCTACGTTCAAAAATTGTCAATTGGAAACAAGGTCATGAAGACAACGATCACAGTCAACGTGCTGTTGATTTTCTTATTAAAAAACTAAAAAATTCCGACGGTAAAGCGTTTTATTCTCTTCTATCGTACAATCACAAAAATTGCTTCTCTTCATATCATAGGTGTACTTGATTCTTTAGCAAAAGTTTTATTAAATCCTTATGCTCCAAGTCCATGTATAACAATTCCACCATCTGTTGATAAACGTATACAGATCGTCTATCGAAAAGAATTTCCACATGTGGTCTATTGTCGTTTATGGCGTTTTGCTGATCTACAGAACTATCATGAATTAGTTCCATCACCTCAATGCCGATATCCATTTTCTTCGGGACATAATCGAAATCAAAAACATGTATGTATCAATCCCTATCATTATGATCGGGTACCATCACAAGGTAAGAGCCAACGAAAACGAATGGTTCAAAATTTTATCTTGAATCTATTGTAGTTCTGCCATCAATTATTGAACCGAGAATTAACAACGAAAATGCACCACCGACGCCACCACCTTCGATGTATTCACCTGACCCTTGTAAGTTATTTCGAACAAGACTTTCTTGGAAACGAAGATCTCATGACATAAATTTAGATTCACCACAATGGAGTAATCAACCTACTCTATCTTCATGGTGCACGATAAATTACTACGAACATAGTAATAAAGTTGGCGAACAATTTCGAGCAGCGTCACCGCGAATCTTTGTCGATGGATATACCTCACCATATCGAAATTTCACAAATCGATTTAGTTTAGGATTGCTAGAAAATGTTAAACGACAGAAAGGTGTAGAACATGTTCGAGCGAATATTGGTCGAGGTATGGCAAATATTTCATTAATTTATTCAGATATATTTACTTGGATTCGTTTATTTCTCAGGTATTGAATTGATCGAACATGAGAACGGTGATGTATCAATTCGAAATCGTTCTTGGTCATGTTCGGTATTTGTTCAATCGGTGTTGTACAATCGTTTAAATGGTTGGAATGATTCGACAGTTAATCATTTACCACCTCGTCAATCAATTCATTCGATTTTCAACGCCTCAATTTTCGCTCAACTTATTCATGATCCATTGGCAACTTACGAAACAATCCTTGACTCAACAAAATTATGTGCGATTCAAGTTAGTTTTAAATTCGGTTGGGGTTTTGAATACGGTCAACGAGAGATAACTTCAACACCATGTTGGTTATCAATTCTGATCAACGAACCATTACGTCTTATTGACACTCGTTTACAACAACTCCAGCCAGAACAAGCAACTACGTCTAGTTGATGAGACAAAATGTGGATGACTGTGTGCTTTTTTTGCTGCTCTCTATGCTGAAATTAATGGTTGAGTGTGAGTGTATGTGAAGAAAACATAAAGAAAGAAAAAAAAAACATATGTTGCGCGCAGCTGTGTGCTCGATTTTTTTTTCTTTTTCTATCATTTACCGCAAAATGAAGATATTTTTATTGTAGACAACGTCGCCGAAGCGACGCAATAGAGAAGCAAACGAGACGCTCGATTTTTTTTCTTTTTATCACGATTTATGTAAAAAAAAAGCAACACTATTCAATCATGGAGTCAGAGAATGTCGAATTAATTCGATATTTATTAATGGTCATCAGACGAAGGAAAGAGGGAGAAAAGAAAACCATATATGTATATTTATAGCTTGTTATTTTTTTGCTTATTTGCGTCCAAGTGAAGAGGAAGAAGTTGGAAACTGGCTACTTCGTTTTTCATATATGTATGACCGAACATATGTTTTTCTGTAATAATGCAATTGATGACGGGAGAAAGCAAAAAATGCGAAGAGAAATAATATAAAAAAGCAAACATGATTAAATCGCGAATCGTTCTCGTCAGGAGTGGGTCTAGAGTCCTATGGACGTTGTGTCAAGAAAAAAATGTTTTTTTTTCATAGCGGAGGAGAGAAAAATACACATATAACTAAGAAGAAAAAACGAGAGAAAAAAGAAGCAAACAGACGAAAACAACCAAGTTACATATCGAAGCAAAAATATTTTCTTTCTTTTTTTTATCGACGGCTAAAACAGCAGCCCGGGTAGAAAAAGAGAGAGAGCGGGAGGGAAAGAAAAAAAAAGGAAAAGGAGGGGGTTCGTTGTTGCTGGGTGCTGGGAATATAAAGGCATCGAAAAAGACAGAGAAGCTCTTTGCACTGTGGCAGAACACAATCAGCAGTTAGTCGTTCTATTCTGCCTTTTGGTACAACCTAACGACAGTTACATCTGGAGTTCGAAAACATTCGTTGATGCAACACCTAGAGCATTTAACAGCCATCGTTACTATCTATGATCTGAGAAATAGAATAAAAGATCGACTTGTCGACATCAATCAATGTAAGTAAAAAGTCAATAATCGTGTCATGAATTTTGTTCCAAAATAACGTTTCCATTTCCCTAGTTTTGCTTCTTTGATGAGTACTCTTCTTAATGAAAACGACTTTTTCTAATTATTTATTTCTATCGAAATATAATCATTATAATTGATATAGGGAACAGATATAGAAGAAAGAAACAGCTGATGATACCTTTATCTTTAAGTGCACCCTTTTCATTTGGTAAATAGCGGCACAGACAAATAAACCCTATGTGTTTCGACGTATTTTTTTTCCTTTTCTTCAGTTCGAAATGATGCTTGTTTTTGTCAGGTGTTTTACATACGGTCGCCATCGACATCCTCTCATCTTTCGTCTAACACTCATATTGATTCAATTTGAAAAAAAAAACAAAAAAATATACTTTGCATTAGAATATCTAGACTGGATTTTATTATACAGTAATCGAGTAAAAGTAAAGTGTCAAATGGAAAAAAGGCACTTAGGTCATATAAAACATACATCATAGATATATTTAGGAGAAAGAGATGATATACATGTATAAAGCAAACCATAACGGATGTTTTTAAATTAGGACGAATGATCGAAATACTCACTGCGTTCAGGAGTAAGTGAAAGATTTAATCGGATATTCGACGAGTTTTCGAACAGCTAATCGTAATTTCCACTTTCATTTTATGGTAGAATCGATTATACATTTTGATATCCTAACCCACGAAGCAGTTCAATTCGTTGCGAAACAAACGAAGTTCAGTGTAAGACCAATGCACTACTCCCAAAGATCGGTTTTTTTCTCTTAGTCTCAAAGCTGACCTATGACAAGTAGAAAAACACTCTAACTTGACCATGCGTTGAAGGAATTTTTCTTGATGAACCGTGTATATTTAAGGAAAACCAAGATAGTAACTTTTCGAACAAGTTCACTGCATATACCATGCATAGGAGACTTGTTCAGAGTATCAAGCATTTGTCCACCAAATAGTTGTTTCTGCATTGCCGATTTACAGATAACAAAAACAATCATATCTCTAAGGTCGTAGTAGAGACGAGCTACTCAAGTATTTTCATAAAAGAGATCAGAGTCATCTTTGAATTTAGGTATATTATAACACGTAATATACTCAATTATAATTGCGAAAGGATAAAATTTTTCCTAATCATTCGCGTGTATTTTGGATAAGTAAATTTATTCGCATACCTCCCATTTTCTTCCCCTTTTCTTTTCCTCTCCTACTGCCTTAATCATCTGAGTTTTTTTTTTTCATTAATAGTTGTACATACACTGCGTTGTTTTGTATGTATTCTACAGAAAAATAAAACAAAATCAACCAATTGCTTTTGATTATACATCAGCTGGTTGTCTTCTATTGGTTGACAGTACGTTAATATTCGTCTCGTTTCTCCTCTTTTCTTGCTCGTCCAAACGATAAAGAGCAACTAGTAGTAAGAACAACAAGAGAAGAAAGAGAAAAATCAGAGAAGAATATGAAGGGGCCATAGAAGATGAAAAAGAGACAAAAGAAGTGAGAGACAAAGTATTTTATAGACTCGTCCGTCGAATCTATTCTCGCTAGTCGTTATCAATAGGTTTTTTCATGGATGACAGCTACTTTAACGATGCTTACATAAATTATTTTCACTTTACATCAGATAGTTTATATACATGAAATGAAAAAAGGTAAATAATATCATTTCTTTCATCTGTCATTAATCGATGTGAACTGTTTCAAGCGACTGACTACATTCGTACATTAGTAAGCGTGAGTAAGAAACTGTCTTTACCTTGGATATCATCGAGAGTTATTATTAGAAAGGCTGCTGTTTAGTTTCGCTCTAAGAGTGAATTATAGCATTTCCGAGAATATGATTTTCAGTTGAGAGATATAAGTTAATGTTTAAACTTCAGTCGTACGCGAAAACTTGCTTTTAGTTTGAATAAGCAGTCAGATGAAACAACATGCAATCATCTCTGAAATTTGATTCAACGGCAAGATGCGTTGAATACTGTGCAAATAAGCAATTAGGTATCGAGTTTTATTTAGAAGCTCGAGATATAACAACCACGAAGTATTTATGATGAGCAGAAGTCCGGCTTGAGGGTGAGCGAAGAACATAACATTAACCTTGCCTCTCGCTCATTACTTTCAGGATATATTAGACCATCTTTTTGTTCTGGATTAATAAAAAGAAAAATTTATAGACTTTGCTGCTATTCTTCGGAAAGTAACATGATAATATCATAAACCTCCTCCATTCACTTTTTTGTTTGTAGTCGTTTTGACAAGAACCAGCTAAATTTAGTCACTTTAGTTTGACATAGTTTCTTTTCCACACTCCATATGTTTGCAAAGGGCAAACCATGGGATATATGCATTTCTTGTATATAACGGTAAACGAAGAATCGGGTGTCAGTCTGTACAAATTAGGGCATAGAACTCAGGATGTTTTCGCGCACATCTGGTATAAGAATGATAGATGTGTTGCACTTCGGTACTTTTTCTTCGCCCGAATTATCATCGAGTTATATTCTGCTTTTGCCGAAAAGGAAAACATTGTGGTACTGGTAAAGAGCAAAGTTCTTGTAGACGTCGCTGATGCGTCTATTCCTGTTTGTTTGTCTTTCTCTACCGAATGTAACAACGCGCTATTATATAAAGAATCAGCCGTCCGACCAGATGATTTCTATAGAAGTGTCTAGATATTTTCCTTCAAACACAGCGTTCTCATTTTGACAAGTCGACTTCTTTTTTTCTCTTTTCTTGCGGTAAACGCGCTATTTTCTACATGAAAAAAAAAAAGAAAGATTTTGCATCTGTAGGTCTCACTGCTTTTCTCCTCATTGACGTCATCTAGTTGAGAGATGCGAATACACCAAAACATTGTGTAAGAAAAAAGAAAGGCACTTGATCAGAATATTTTTTTCTTCTTTTTCTTCCTTTTCCTTCTTTTCGCTTGGAAAGAAAAAGAAGAAAGAAGAAAACAAGATGATAATAATGAAAATCTAGTTTAGACGTTTTTATATCACCCAGGATCGCGAGAGAAAAAAACAGAGAAAATACTACGACAGAAAACATATGAGACGATGAATAGTTGATACTTCTAACACAGAAGCACGCACATACACAGAGGTTATACTTATTAAATATCCTATTGACATCTCTGTGCACTCCTGTTCATCGCTAAGTTTAGATTGTATCATTATTCATAAGCAGCTATTAATTCTTTCAAATATCTAAAGTATTCATCCTTATGTTGTTATTTCAACTCTATTCTTAATTTAAATGATGAAGAGTAAAAATATCCCATGCAATTAAAATCTTTCTTTCCATCCAGGTATAACATTTTTCTCTCATCTACTCGATTTGTTACTTCTTTCATATATTCACTCTTTCAATCTCCGATTTCTAACATTTCTTTTTCTTTTCCTAAACAAAACATTTTATAGTGAATTGACTTTCATCGCCCAGCATAATTATTTCACTTGAAAAGAAAAATCAATAAACAATAAAGATAACTAATGAAATGAACGCTAGTCGTTTCTTTTTGGCGCTTGGTTTTTCCAAGTACTAACTTTTCAAGTAAGTGTGAAAGAGAAAACTGACTCGTTCGAGTATGTGTAGAAAAAAGAATTGACAACAACACACCAAAAAACATCGGCAGAAACGAGAAAGCTTGAATACCTCTGTGATGGAAAGGAAAGCAAAAAAACCATAGTCATGTCGCTTTTCTTCCCCGCTCTATTATGTTCTGTTTTTTTTTCACGCAGCCAGTTGCTCGACTCCGCTATTACCCTTGCGACGCATTCAGTTTTCTTAATAGAGAAAAAATAAGATATTTATTTCCTATGTATATGTATATAATCATCGATATGGACCCAAGTCATCTTTTACTTGTTTTCTTTTAGATCAAATTGTGAAATAATGTGATGTATTGACCCTGAGACCCTAACTTGAGACTGTAAACGATTCTCTCAGGTTTCGGTCTCCGGCTCGATCATTCATTATCAATGAATTCATGCCAAAACATCGTTCGTGTGCGTATGAACTTGTCTGCTTTGCTACGATTTCTTTTAGAAAGCACAAGGTTCGGTGGTTACGATGTACCCATGCGCCTTATTACGGAAGGAAATGCGTTCACAAAATATCTGAGGAGAAGGATGTTCTAGACACAAATATTAACAACAAAGTTGCGAATCAAAATGGCTTTTACCCGATCGCAAATATATAATTTTGTTCGAATTGTGTTTTGCATCGTCTTGTTTTTTTCTCCAATAAAATGTTGAAAAGTTGAGTGTTATATTTGGAATTATTATCTACTGTGTATTCTTTATTCAAAGTAGATACGATAACGATATGAGAGTAGCATTTGAAATGAGTGAATTGGAAAAGAATTATTCGCGGAATAAGACGATCCTGTTGTCAATATGATAATGATAGTGAGAATACGTCGTACATTATTCAACTGTTTAAAATACTTTTTCTGCCCAATGTTTGGATGCGTGTTGATCGCAAATTTCGAATAGTATTGTTTTTGTTAATCATATTTGACATAGAGCGACATCTGATTTGATTTCCATTGAAAGTATCTACGATGGAGTTGTAACTATAGAGAAAAACTCTCGAATGATCAATCGTTAAATTTTTCGAAACAAACATTGCAACAAGTGCATTCTATTTTCATTTTCAACTTCGCCTTTGTGATAATTTTTCACTCGTATTCATCTTTTCATGGATCACGAGGCGAGTTCTACTAATGTGAACGGTGATAAAACTGATACACAATCACAAGCGGAAGCAAATGCTGATAATGCTTCGAGACACAGCTCACGTATCGGATCAGTTCGTTCGGTCCGTTCAGTTCGAAGTAAAGCAGGATCTGTACGTGAAGCAACTGCGCTCAATGAACGACGTACATCGGGGAAGGCAGTTGCGTCACCAAAACCCAATACAACTGCCAATGGTGACGCGCAACTGGCAACTGTAAATCATTCGAAACCGCCATCACCATCCGTGCCAGCAATGGATGAAACAAATGGTGAAATAATTCCTGAAGAACCAATAAATGTGAAATCCGGCACGGAACATATTGTAAATTGACTTTGCCTTGAAAAAATCTAGTAGAAGAATATTTGTTTTTCTAGTTGGAATATATTCATAAGGTCGTAACTCTTCCCGGTTTGGATGAAGAGATGTGGACGGAAGAAGTTCATTCACAAATTCGTGAATTTCTCAGTGATTCAGAAAATCGTATCATGTGCTTTTATATCGATCGTGTTCTTGGCCTCTGTGTCGAATACGGTGTACCGACAAATGCGTTCTCACATTTAGTCTATTTTATCAAAAATCAACCGATGCGAATTACTGAAAAAGAACAATTTATTCGGTAAGTTTCATTTCTATCAACAATATATTCGTCTATCGTGTTTTTAGTGATGTACAATATGGAAATTTCGGTGGTAAACATTTTTCATCGCTTCTTCGTGTTATGTCTGGCTTGTATGCTCCATTATTTTTCGGTAATAAGATGTGGCCCGATTCAATTAAGAACGATTTTGCTTCTCAACTACATCGATTTCTTGCAACATTAACTGATATTCGTTGGCGTATGGAAGGAATAACAAAATTGTACATTCCCAAAGAAGGTCATGATATTCCTGTCGAACAAGCTGCAAAAGATAAAGAATTAGTTCAACGACTGGAATCAGCCATGGTTCATTGGTGTCGACAATTGAAAGATGTTTCAAATTCTCAAGATCAATCAGCACTTAGTGATGATAGTGGACCACTGGAAGAAATTGAATTTTGGAAAGCACGAACACAAGATTTAGTGGGGATTAGTCAACAATTAGACCAACCGTCTATAAAACATATAACTGAAATCTTACGAAAAGCCAAATCATCATATTTACCGCAGTTTCTTAAACTANATGATGTATTCTTGAATGCAATTTTTTAGCTGAACAAAACAAAATAAATCCATGATACTATGCAAAACAGATGTCTTTTGAACTTGTCACTTTTGTTCGTTCAATTGTTTCCTTAAGTAGTTCGATATCTGAGTTAAGTTGTTGCTGTTTTACTTTGATGATGTATGGAAATAAGTGTGCCGCTCCCTCTTTCAATAAGAAGCGATTTATCAGACAAACGAGCAGAATAATTATTATTAATTGCGACTCGTCTCGTTCGTTCACACACTTGTCTTTCTCTCTCTTCGCTTCTCCTCTTTCTCTGTTGGAAGCATTAGACATTGATTCGCTATACGGAGAAGAAAACAATTGTTTTCTCCTTTTCACATGATCAGAATGTATATAATCGTTTAGCAACCAAGCAATTCCGCAATCGCTCTGACATACCACAGACATAACGTATTATCGATTAGTCGAAAACAACAAGCAAATATGGATGATTATCATGATCGAAAATCTTTCAATCTCCATGTTCTACGTTCGAAAATCGTCAATTGGAAACAAGGCCATGAAGACAATGATCACAGTCAACGTGCTGTTGATTTTCTTATAAAAAAACTGAAAAATTCCGACGGTAAAACGTTTCATTCTCTTCTCTCGTATAATCACGAAAATTCCTTCCTTTCATATCATAGGTGTACTTGATTCTTTAGCAAAAGTTTTATTAAATCCTTATGTTCCAAGTCCATGTATAACAATTCCACCATCTGTTGATAAACGTATACAGATTGTCTATCGAAAAGAATTTCCACATGTGGTCTATTGTCGTTTATGGCGCTTTGCTGATCTACAGAATTATCATGAATTAGTTCCATCACCTCAATGTCGGTATCCCTTTTCTTCGGGAAATAATCGAAATCAAAAACATGTATGTATCAATCCCTATCATTATGATCGGGTACCATCACAAGGTAAGAGCCAAGAAAAAAGACTCGTTGAAAATTTTATCTCGATGCTTTGATAGTTTTGCCATCGATTATTGAACCGAGAATTAACAACGAAAATGCACCGCCGACACCACCACCTTCGACGTATTCACCTGATCCTTGTAAGTTATTTTGAACAAGACTTTCTTGGAAACAAAGATCTCATGACACAAATTTAGATTCACCACAATGGAGTAATCAACCTATGCTCTCTTCATGGTGCACGATAAATTACTACGAACATAGTAATAAAGTCGGCGAACAATTTCGAGCAGCATCACCGCGAATCTTTGTCGATGGATATACTTCACCATATCGAAATTTCACAAACCGATTTAGTTTAGGATTGCTAGAAAATGTTAAACGACAGAAAGGTGTAGAACTTGTTCGAGCGAATATCGGTAGAGGTATACCAGTTATTTCATTGATTTATTCAGACATGTTTACTTAGATTCGTTTATTTCTTAGGTATTGAATTGATCGAACATGCGAACGGTGATGTATCAATTCGAAATCGGTCTTGGTCATGTTCGGTATTTGTTCAATCGGTGTTGTACAATCGTTTGAATGGTTGGAATGATTCGACAGTTAATCATCTACCACCTCGGCAATCAATTCATTCGATTTTCAACGCCTCAATTTTCACTCAACTTATTCATGATCCATTGGCAACTTATGAAACAATCCTTGATTCAACGAAATTATGTGCGATTCAAGTTAGTTTTAAATTCGGTTGGGGTTTCGAATACGGTCAACGAGAGATAACTTCAACGCCTTGTTGGTTATCAATTCTGATCAATGAACCATTACGTCTTATTGACACTCGTTTACAACAACTCCAACCAGAACAAGCAACTACGTCTAGTTGATGAGATAAAAAGTGGATGTTTGTGTGCTTTTTTTTGATGCTCTCTATGCTGAAACTAATGGTTGAGTGTGAGTGTATGTGAAGAAAACAAAAAGAAAGAAAAAAAAACATATGTTGCGCGCAGCTGTGCGCTCGATTTTTTTTCTTTTTCTATGATTTACCGCAAAACGAAGATATTTTTATTGTAGACAACGTCGCCGGAGCGACGCAATAAAAAAGCAAGCGAGACGCTCGATTTTTTTTTCTTTTTATCACGATTTATGTAAAAAAGAAAGCAACAATATTCAATCATGAAGTCAGAGAATGTCGAATTAATTCGATATTTATTAATGGTCATCAGACGAAGGAGAGAGGGAGAAAAGAAAACCATATAAGTATATTTATAGCTTGTTATTTTTTTGCTAATTTGCGTCCAACTAAAGAGAAAACGTTGGAAGCTGGCTACTTCATTTTTTCATATATGTACGGCCGAACATATGTTTTTCTGTAATAATACAATTGATGATGCGAGAAAGCAAAAAATGCGAAGAGAAATAATATAAAAAGAGCAAACATGATTAAATCGCGAATCGTCCTCGTCAGGAGTGGGCCTAGGGTCCTATGGACGTTGTGTCAAGAAAAAAATGTTTTTTTTTTCATAGTGGAGGAGAGAAAAATACACATATAACTAAGAAAAAGAAAAAAAAACGAGAGAAAAAAGAAGCAAACAGACAAAAACAACCAAGTTACATATCGAAGCAAAAATATTTTCTTTCTTTTTTATCGACGGCTAAAACAACAGCCCGGGTAGAAAAAGAGAGAGCGGGAGGGAAAGAAAAAAAAGGAAAAGGAGGGGGTTCGTTGTTGCTGGGAATATAAAGGCATCGAAAAAGACAGAGAAGCTCTTTGCACTGTGGCAGAACACAATCAGCAGTTAGTCGTTCTATTCTGCTGTTTGGTACAACCTAACGACAGTTACGTCTGGAGTTCGAAAACATTCGTTGATGCAACACTTAGAGCATTTAGCAACCATCGTTAGCATCTATGACCTGAGAAATAGAACAGAATACCGACTTGTCGACATCAATCAATGTAAGTAAAGAGTCAATAGTCGTGTCATGAATTTTGTTCCGAAATAACGTTTCCATTTCCCTAGTTTTGCTTCTTTGATGACTACTGTTAATGAAAACGACTTTTCCTAATTATTTATTTCTATTGAAATATTATCATTATAATTGATATAGGGAACAGATATCGAAGAAAGAAACAGCTGATGATACCTTTATCTTTAAGTGCACCCTTTTCATTTGGTAAATAGCGGCACAGACAAATAAACCCTGTATGTTTCGACGTATTTTTTTCCTTTTCTTCACTTCGAAATGATGCTTACTTTTGTCAGGTGTTTTACATACGGTCGCCATCGACATCCTCTCATCTTTCGTCTAACATTCATATTGATTCAATTTGAAGAAAAAATAACAAAAAAAAGTACTTTGCATTAGAATATCTAGACTAGATTTCATTATACAGTAATCGAGTAAAAGTAAAGTGTCAAATGGAAAAAAGGCACTTAGGTCATATAAAACATGCATCATAAATATATTTAGGAGAAAGAGACGATATACATGTATAAAGCAAACTATAACGGATGCTTTTAAAGTAGGACGAATGATCGAAATCAAAATACTCACTGCACTTAGGAGTAAGTTAAAGATTTCATCTGATATTCGACGAGTTCTCAAACAGCTGACCGTAATTTCCACTTTCAGTTTATGGGAGAATCGATTATGCATTTTGACTATTAATGATTAGGGACCACTTTGAGAACTGCACGTAAAAGTTATCCTAGCTCATGAAGCAGTTAAATCCGTTGCGAAACAAATGAGGTTGAGTCTAAGATCAGTTTCTTTCTCTTAGCCTCGAAGCTGATCAATAGCAAGTAGACAAAACTCTAACTCAACCATGCGTTGAAGGAACTTTTCTTGATGAACCGTGTATATTTAAGGAAAACCCAGAGAGTAACTTTTCGAACAAGTTCGCTGCATGTACCATGCATAGGAGACTTGGCCAGGATATCAAACTTCTGTTCATCAAAGAGTTGTTTCTGCATTGCCGATTCGTAGATAACGAAAACAATCATATCTCTAAGGTCGCACTAAAGTAATATACTCAATTATAATTTCGAAAGCATAAAATCTTTCCTAATCATTCGCGTGTATTTTGGATAAGTAAATTTATTCGCATACCTCCCATTTTCCTCCCGCTTTCTTTTCCTCTCCTATAGCCTTAATCATCTGAGTTTTTTTTTCATTAATAGTTGTACATACACTGTGTTGTTTTGTATGTATCCTACAGAAAAATAAAACAAAATCAACCAATTGCTTTTGATTATACATCAGCTGGTTGTCTTCTATTGGTTGACAGTACGTTAATATTCGTCTCGTTTCTCCTCTTTTCTTGCTCGTCCAAACGATAAAGAGCAACTAGTAGTAAGAACAACAAGCGAAGAAAGAGAAAAATCAGAAAAGAATATGAAGGGGCCATCGAAGATGAAAAAAGGACAAAAGAAGTGAGAGACAAAGTATTTTATAGACTCGTCCGTCTATTCTATTCTCGCTAGTCGTTATCAATAGGTTTTTTCATGGATGACAGCTACTTCAACGATGCTTACATAAATTATTTTCACTTTACATCAGATAGTTTATATACATGAAATGAAAAAAGGTAAATGATATCATTTCTTTCATCTGTCATTAATCGATGTGAACTGTTTCAAGCGACTGACTACATTCGTACATTAGTAAGTATGAGTAAGAAACTGTCTTTACCTTGGATATCAGCGAGAGTTATTAAAAAAGCTGCCGTTTAATTTCGCCCTAAGGGTGACCTATAGCATCCCCGAGAATATAATTTCCAGTTGAGAGACATAAGTTAATGTTTAAAACTCAGTCGTACACGAAAACTAGTTTTTAGATTGAATCGGCAGTCAGATGAAACGACATACAATCATCTCTGAAACTTGATTCAGCGGCAAGATGCGTTGAATACTATGCAAATAAGCAATTAGGTATCGAATTTTATTTAGAAGCTCGAGATATAGCAGTCATGAAGTATTTACGATGAACATAACATTAACCTTGTCTCTCGCTCATTACTTTCAGGATATATTAGACCATCTTTTTGTTGGGGAATAATAAAAAGAAAAAGCTATAGACTTCGCTGTGATTCTTCAGAAAGTACCATGACAATACCATAAACCTGTTCCATTCAATTTTCATTTGTAGTCGTTTTAACTAGAACCAGTAAAATTTGGTCACTTTAGTTTGACATAGTTTCTTTTTCACACTCCATATGTTAGTAAAGAGCAAACCATGAGATATATGTATTTCTTGTATATAACGGTAAACGAGGAATCGGGTGTCAGTCTGTACAAATTGGGGCATAAAACTCGGTATGTTTTCGCGCACATCTGGTATTAGAACGATAGATGTGTTGCACTTCGGTACTTTTTCTTGGCCCGAATTATCATGGGGTTATATCCTGCTTTTGCCGAAAAGGAAAACATTTTGGTACTGGTAAAGAGCAAAGTTCTTGTAGACGTCGCTGATGTTTCTATTCCTGTTTGTTTGTCTTTCTCTACCGAATGTAACAGCGCGCTATTATATAAAGAATCAGCCGTCCGACCAGATGATTTCTATAGAAATGTCTAGATATTTTCCTTCAAACACAGTGTTCTCATTTTGACAAGTCGACTTCTTTTTTCTCTTTTCTTGCGGTAAACACGCTATTTTCTACATGGAAAAAAGGAAAGATTTTGTATCTATAAGTCTCACTGCTTTTCTCCTCATTGACGTCATCTAGTTGAGAGATGCGAATACACCAAAACATTGTGCAAGAAAAAAGAAAGGCACTTGATCAGAATATTTTTCTTCTTTTTCTTCCTTTTCCTTCTTATTTTTTCGCTTGGAAAGAAAAAAAAGAAAGAAGAAAACAAGATGATAATAATGAAAATCTAGTTTAGACGTTTTTATGTCACCCAGGATCGAGAGAGAAAAAAAAGAGAAAATACTACGACAGAAAACATATGAGACGATGAATAGTTGATACTTCTAACACAGAAGCACACACATACACAGAAGTTATACTTATTAAATATCCTATCGACATCTCTGTGCACTCGTGTTCATCGCTAAGTTTAGATTTTATCATTATTCATAAGCAGCTATTAATTCTTTCAAATATCTAAAGTGTTCATCCTTATGTTGTTATCTCAACTGTATTCTTAATTTAAATGATGAAGAGTAAAAATATCTCATGCAATTAAAATCTTTCCTTCCATCCAGGTATAACATTCTTCTCTCGTTTACTCGATTTGTTACTTCTTTCATATTTTATTCTTTCAATCTCCGATTTCTAACATTTCTTTTTCTTTTTCTTTTTCTTTTCCTAAACAAAACATTTGATATTGAATTGACTTTCATCGCCAGCATAATTATTTCTCTTGAAAAGAAAAATCAATAAACAACAAAGATAACTAATGAAATGAACGTTAGTCGTTTCTTTTTGGCGCTTGGTTTTTCCAAGTACTAACTTTTCAAGTAAGTGTGAAAGAGAAAACTGACTCGTTCGAGTATGTGTAGAAAAAAAGAATTGACAACAACACACCAAAAAACATCGACAGAAACGAGAAAGCTAGAATACCTCTGTGATGGAAAGGAAAGCAAAAAAACCATAGTCATGTCGCTTTTCTTCCCCGCTCTATTATGTTCTGTTTTTTCACGCAGCCAGTTGCTCGACTCCGCTATTACCCTTGCGACGCATTCAGTTTTCTTAATAGAGAAAAAATAAGATATTTATTTCTTATGTATATGTATATGTATATAATCATCGATATGGACCCAAATCATCCTTTACTTGTTTTCTTTTAGATCAAATTGTGAAATAATGTGATGTATTGACCCTGAGACCCTAACTTGAGACTGTAAACGATTCTCTCAGGTTTCGGTCTCCGGCTCGATCATT